AAAAAGAATATATATCTTAAATATTTAATTTAATGTCATTTATAAAGTTTCTTATTTGTCTAGTATAAATTTTATATAATTAATTATTTTTTTAAAATTTATTATAATTTTATAATTGCAACTGTGCATCCAAACAGAACATGTGTAATTACACTGTGGCATCCAAACAGGACATGTGTAATTACAGTGTAATTACACTGTGGCAACCAAACAGGTCAGTGTAATTACTAGACAGTGTAATTACTAGGCTGGTAATTACTACCCTAGTAATTACACCAATTCCAATTACCAAATGGCTTTCCAAACAGACCCTAAGTGTGAGTTTTGACTTGAATCTGTGGCATTCTTAGGTCACATTGTGTCTGGAGAGGGAATTAAAGTTACCTTTTTTGCTGCTAAATTTGTCCTAAAAAGAACTTAGTTTGCACTTTTAACATTCAAAACATAGTGTCCAATTAAAAATAATGAAATATGAGAAATAATATATTCAATTACGAGATAGCAATTTCCTTAATTAATTTGTAATACTATTTCGAGAATACTTTCGATATTGTAGAAATATAACGTAAAACGTCAAAAAGAAGAATTTAATACATAACATGAGAACGAACAACTTCTTTATTGTTTGTAATAACATTATCTCGAGAATCCTTTGGATACTATGAAAAGATAATGTCAAACTTCAAAAACAAGGATTAACATGCCATGAGAACGACCTCTTTATTTTTTATTTTCTCTTAAGAAAAATGATATTATGTTCTTTTTCTCACTTGGAATATTATGACATGATAAATATGCTATTTTCATATCAACATAAAAGTTTGATATTCCTGTGTCCCTAATTATTTGTGTACTTTTCCTTTTATAGTTGTCCCTAATTACTTATCTATTTTGACAAATCAAGAAAGGACAATTTTTACCTATTATACCCTCAATTAATTACTTTGAAAAAGGTAGAACTTTTTGAAAATCTTAAATTTTTAATTTATTCTACTTCATAATTAATAGGGGTAAAATAGTAAACTCACTATGTCAATAATTGTTTTCTTAATAGGTGTGTCAAATTCAAAAAGTGGACAAGTAATTTAGGGACAGAGGGAGGTATAATAGGTTTCTTGATATTTATTATGTCAAAAAGTAACCAGAGAAAGTGCCACGATTCAAAATCTCAGGTCATGATGTCGCTTATTAATATCTCACCAATAGGTAAGCCGGATTCAAAAGCCCACCCACTATCACTAACAAAATATACACAATTACCTAACCATACCCCATAAGCCCGAAAGGTACATAACAACAAACAAAAATCCGATCTCCCCCCCCTCCCCCCATAAGACCGGAAGGTGCAAACACCTACCAATTATACTGGTGATATGCTATGCATATGCATGCAAGTTATGCTCTAGAAACCAATAGTGCCAATAATATAAAATGCCAAACAACCAACTATATACACATATCCAAGGGTGGCTCAAACTCGTTGGTGGCCTAAGGCCAAAATCAAACTAGAGGCCTTAAAAAAATTAAACAATTTTATATATATATATATATATATATTTATTTTAAATATATTTTTCTAGTTTTTTGAGATGCAAAAGTTGTTAATAATTTTTGTGTAGTCAATCTCTTCTAATAATTCTTTTTCAATCGATAATATAGCTAAATCACTTAATCTTTCTTGAGACATTGTTGATCTTAAATAAGATTTTATTATTTTTAATTTTGGAAAACTTCTTTCAGCTGAGGCGACTGCTACATGAATTGTTAACATTATTCTATAAGCAATGTAAGCATTTGGAAAAGAATCAAGTTTTTTATTTGATTGAGTATCTAACAAATATTTTAAACACTATTTACAATATCAAATAAAAAAATATAATAAACATAAGACACAAAACAAAAATAATATTAGAAATTAGAATGATATTACCAGATTCAAGAACTATAAAGACTTGATTTTCGAAAATGAATTGGGCTGCTGCGATATATTTTTCTTCAAATTTAAAACATAAATTATATTTTTTTTTAAATTGAAATTATCAATAGAACAAGTAAATTCTTAAGCTTTGAATAAGAGAGAATTGTAAGATTAGAAAAGAGAAAGAGAGAAGAAATAGAAGAGAGGAAGAGAGAATGATAGAATATATAAAAATAAAATTATAAAAAGAATAAGGCAAAAAAAGAAGAAGATAACTTGTACAATTAAAAAAAAAGTACACATTATTTTTTATTTTTTTTATTGAAAAGGTAAAAAGTAATAGTCATATCAAATCGCTTCATTAATGCCGTTTGAATTTAAAGTCTTAGTTCTATTTTTTTTATAAATTTATTCCTATCTAATAAATTAAAAATGGGGTCCCCTAAAATTCGGGGCCTAAGGCCAAAGTTTTTTTTTCAACCCTTACTAGCCGCCCCTTCACATATCTCCTTCCCCAGCACGTTAGATAGGATCCATGCGGACATCCCTCCTCTTGTTCATTGAGTCACAGGGACTGAGGGACCATAGGAGACTCGAGAAGTCCATATATACTACATGATCCCAATCCAGGACTTTAATTAATAAGCGATCCTTATGGATCTGCTCCGTCATGGTACCAGAGAGGTATATCAATAAAAGGGTCGGTGATTCGTTCAACCGATCAAGTAAGACGTGAGTATATCCTTGATGCCTTTTTATACCAAAGATTCATTTATCAATGTAGTAAAAGTAGCACGGCTCCCAACAAAACTAGGTTTAAGAGTAAAAGTATAAAATCATATTTTCTCGAAAATAGTACTCCCTCTGTCCCAATTTATGTGACATATTTCGGATTTCGAGATTCAAACAAGTCTATCTTTGCCCGTAAATTTTTCCTATATCTTTTAAATATTTTGAATTATCAATTATTGAGACTTATAATGCTTTTTATGTAGTTTACAAATATATAAATTTCATTTTAAAAAAATTGAAGATTTCATGAGCAAATTCTCGGTCAAACTTAAACTGTTTGACTCTCGAAAAGTGAAATATGTCACATAAATTGGGACAGAGGGAGTAGTAAAGATCAATACGTTTACTGAGATCATACAACAAAATATGTGAAAGTGAGTACCAATGCAATGCATATCATCACCAAGCACTACTGATATATACGAGATACAAACATTCATTAACTAAGAGTTAAAAGACTCTAACATCTACAAATAATTAATTAATTATAGGATAAACGAACTCACATGGAAGGAACATATATATATATATAATAGTGCATTTGTAAAAGAGATAAAACTTGACTATTAAATGAAATTAGAAGTAGTTAATTATCCACCCACACCATTTATTTATTTATTATATATATAATAAGATAATAGTTAACATAAACACACATGACCTTTTATACTCATTCCATATGATATGAGTATTTATTTAGGTATTTATTAAGTGAAAGAGTCATGCATTATTAAGGAGTGGAGAAATAGAAATGACCAAGCTTGACTATATCATAACTGCTACTAAATTAAATGTCCCCACAAGTGCTGATAAAACTACACCACTCACACCCTGAACGATGTTTCCAACAAGCATGAGGGGAGCTTGAAGAATTCCTGAGGTGGGCAACACAGTACAATTAACAATTGGGAGAGCAGCCCTTGCAACACATGAAAGAGTTGAAGTATTTCCAAACAAAATATTTGTATTGGTGCTCAATGTAACATTTATTAAACCTTCAACATTTGTGATCACTTGAGCAAGGGTTGTGTTGCCACAAATAATGGCGACATTTACTCCACCAATTCCGGGGCCTGGGGCATTTCCCGATGTGGAGCAAGACACAACACCCCGTATAGTTATATTAGCTGGTTGGCCAACAACGGGTGGTACAATGGGTGGTACTTGACCAACGGGTGGTAGAATGGGTGGTACTTGACCAACGGGTGGTACAATGGGTGGTACTTGACCAACGGGTGGTAGAATGGGTGGTACTTGACCAACGGGTGGTACAATGGGTGGTACTTGACCAACGGGTGGTAGAATGGGTGGTACTTGACCAACGGGTGGTACAATGGGTGGTACTTGACCAACGGGTGGTAGAATGGGTGGTACTTGACCAACGGGTGGTACAATGGGTGGTACTTGACCAACGGGTGGTAGAATGGGTGGTACTTGACCAACGGGTGGTACAATGGGTGGTACTTGACCAACGGGTGGTAGAATGGGTGGTACTTGACCAACGGGTGGTACAATGGGTGGTACTTGACCAACGGGTGGTAGAATGGGTGGTACTTGACCAACGGGTGGTACAATGGGTGGTACTTGACCAACGGGTGGTAGAATGGGTGGTACTTGACCAACGGGTGGTACAATGGGTGGTACTTGACCAATGGGTGGCACAATAGATGGTACTTGACCAACAATGGGTGGTATTAGCTGGCTAACAATGCCTGGTAATACTTCGTTAAGAATGGGTGGTAATAATCTTCCAACAATGGGTGGTAATAGTTGGTTAAGAAGGGATGGTAATAGTTGGTTAAGAAGGGGTGCCAATTGGCCAACACTGGGTGGTACAATGGGTGGTACTTGTCCAACAATGGGTGGTACTTGACCAACCGGTGGTACTTGGGCAACCGGTGGTACAATCGGTGGTCTAATGGGTTGGCCAACAATGGGACCAAGAATGGGACCAAGAATAGGACCAACAATGGGAATGGGACCAAAAATGGGACCAAGAATGGGTAATTGAGCATGGGCTAGAGGACTGGTAGTGATGATGGAAAGCAGAATAATGAGGAAAACAATACACTTTTTTGAAGACATGATTATGATGATGATTTGATAATACTTTTTTCTATTCAATATCCCCATTTTATAGTGATGCTTTTTATTTACTCCACCCCTACCTTAACTTACCCCCCAACCTATATAAATGATTAAAAAAATGTATTATACGTAGATATATTATGTTCCATGCCTAAATAATAGAGTATTATTAAAGACGTACAACTTCCAATATTTCTCTCACATATATCCTCATCAGTTAGGTTCAAACTCATCAACTTGAAGATCA